GTGGTGGCCCTTCAGCCCATGGCATCTTGTAACCAAGCTGCCAGTGGGGTTGCTTCTTTCTGACAAAGACAAGCATAGGAACTAGACTTGCCTGGCCTGGGGGAAGATTATTCCTTATTTTTCTACAGCCTTTATTAAAATTTGGAGACTGTTGTCTTTCTTTGCTCTCTTTAGGCTAATTACTTCTAATTCATTTAGCATTTTCCTTTCAGGTCATAATTTCCAGATAATTTTTTTCTGCTTTATTTTGAACTTTTTAGTTCACCTGCATCTTTCAAGTACCATTTCTCATAGCACTTACAAACACAGCTATGTCTACAAAGACCTGTCACCGTGTCAAAGAAGGAGTGACATAGGTCTGTCATGACTTACTCTTGACAAACTCCTGTTGTCATTTCACAAGACTTTTTCTTGCCTTCTAGGCACCTATGGATACTGTGTCCTATAAAATCAGTTTTATAGCAGAGAGAACAACAGATTGTCATGCAAAGGATATTTAAGATAGCTTTTTGTGTATGAATGTAACACCAAGACACAGAAGAAACCAATATCACATACGTTATTGGACTAAGTCCGATTTCTCCTGCTGTTAATAGTATGGAATTGGTTTCATATTGGTTTCAGGTACGAATTCCCCATTGCTTATATCCAGCTTAAGAACAAATGACTAGATTAGAAGATGATTGCTGTGACAATTTGGAAGAATTCATTCATATGCAGCTTATCAATTTGTTTGATCTATTTTGAACTATAAAGTTTGTTTCTTAAAGAGATGCCTGTTCTTTTTCTAAGTCTGTATCTCAGACATGAAGGCTAACATACCTCCAAGCAAGATCATAAAGCCTGATGGGCTTTTTGGTTCATGTGAAGCCACCCAAAGAGTTATGTTCTATCTAGAAGCAGTTTTCTACAGACATTTTTAATGGCTTTATCTAGATCTACATATTTCTAGTACTGCTGAACATACAAAGTAATAATTTTATAGCCTGTATTGCAAAACTATTGTGTTCAGTTATCACCTCTCCTGAAGACAGAAAATATTAAAAAAAATATTCCTAATAGAGTAAAAATCTGTCTTTGAATGTTTAGCCTTATTCCACTTTCTTTGTCACTTGGCCCATGGATCTCACAAAGGAACAGTTCACACAAATCTGTGCCTGAGCGGTATAACTGAGGGCTAGTGCTGGAGGTTTTGCATGCCTGGGAAGCCGAAGCACACAAACCTGATGTAGTGAGATTCATTACAGTGCCCAGTATTCATAAGAAAGGAAAATAGTAAAGCGCTAACATAAAGAAAATTTAGCGTAGAACAGTAAAACACCAATATAAGGAAAAATCTATGTAAACTGAGGATTCTTTCTTTGCTTATGACTTGGGCAACAACATCTACCTGCCTTAGGAGACCTTTTAATTTGCTAACCTTTTGACTCTCAGAACATTTGACAAAGATTGTAAAACTCAGGATCCATGTTTTTATGTGCAGGAGGACAGTAAGACTAATTCAGTAAGAAAATGGCTTTGGTGACAAGGTCAATTCTGTGCAGTACTTGACATTTCTTGCAGCCACTGTGCCTAGCCCAACTCTCCTGTCCTTAGACCAGTCCTTGTACAAAAAGGATGATAATCATGATGTGATTTAATAGTTCTTAAAACTGGTGGTTGTAAAACACTGACATGATTATCTAGTCCTGAGCTTTAGCTACTAGACAGTGCTGTCTCACTAGTATAGGGGGCAAATGGTGTGGTTCTGCATTAAATAATAGTGAAGAAAACATACCAAAAACATGTAAGGTATGTAACAAACAGACTGAACCTAATACCAGTGTTTTTTCAAAGCTAACAGTACCCAATTACTATGAACATTTTATTTAATGACAATCCCAGGATGCCTTTAAGTCTAATTAGAATAAAACAGTACCACATTCGGAGAAGAGAAGAGGTCCATTGAGGTAGAGGTCAACTATTTTCATATTGATATATTAACATACTTTCACCTAGCCAAAGCTGTACTGTTTGTACAGTGAGCTCACATTGGAGCCATCAGCTGTGTCACAGTGCTAGCGAGCATTCCTGGGTATAAATGGTTTTGTCTTGCTGCCAATTAACATCCTTAGGGCCACCAACTTAGGACACCAGGCTATTGGTGCAAATCCTTCCCACTGTGTGAGATTAACCTTATTATTTATAACAGATGTAGAATGTTAGGATGGGCTGATATATTTTTATTTTTGTTCAAAGGTTGATTTTTTTTTTCCCTTGATCTGTTCTGCTTTACCCAAATACATGAAACAGCAATTAAACAGCACTGCATAAAGCTGCAGCTGAGATAAAAAAAAAATAAGCACAAGGGCTGTAAATATAAATGAATTTTAAACATTATTATTTTACAAGGAAACTTCAGTGAAACTTAGACCCAGAATCATTTGATTTAGCTGCCATAAGCAAAACTGACACTGACACACTTGCTAGTCTTATCTCCCTTCTTGAAAGGTTATGTTTTACCATGAAGTTTCACAAATTAAATTTTCCTGTCTGACTAGGAAACATCACTCTACAGTTGACACCTGTCCCATGACTGACAAAAATCATTTAAAAGACATTGTCCTTTATGTTAGCCAGACCTCAGCTAAAATATATAAACTTTCCTTTCAGCAGAGATTGGAATATACTTGGTTGAAGAAATATGATTCCTCATATCCTTATGATTTTTCTTATTTTGGAGGTGGGGTAACATGGGAAGGAATGGTGCTGTTGTACACAGCTGGAGTTGCCATACTTCAAAGGGAGACACTGTTTAGAGTAATAGCAGTAAGCTAGAGAGGACAGTGTATATCAGGAGGTTAGAGCCAGGCTTTGTATCCAATGAGTGGGTGCTATATCACAAAACTGTCACAGTAAAAAGGTAGAAAATCTCCTTTTTTTCAGTTGTGTTACTGTATGCAGTAAAGAAAAGCTTTCTCATTGCTTTCTTACTCTAGTATCAATAAAATACTGCCTTTCAGATGCAGATCTCTGCATGTGCACAAGTATTTGTACCAAGATTCAGGCAGAAATTCCTGATCTGCCACTACAGCCATCAGCATCTCCCCTTCCCCAAGCACTCCTGGCACATCAAGAACCTCCTCACTTTTAATAGCAGAAAGCTAATGAACTTTTGCTTCATAGGCACAATGCTAAGTGGCACCAAAAGAATTTCTAGTCCAGATGTGTGGTGTGATGAACGCTTTAAAGATTTTACACCAGCTCTGAGACTTTTACACTGGCAAAAATACCATAATGCTGCAAAACAAAGGGAAATCCCAGGATCTGATGGACAGCAAGATACATATTTATTTATCTGGATTATCTCAATGTCTGATTGAAGTATGCACTTAGGATGTAAGGAGACTGTAAGAAGAATATGATTGAATTATTGAGCATCCTAACAACCCAGGGGTGGGCTCCAGGACTGTCTGCACAACAGTGTGAAAGAAGAGACGTGCTGGGGTCTGATGCAGCTAAACAGATGCTGCATGTTTCTGACCTGGATTATGTGGCACTTGCTATTCCTCATGTGCAGTAAATAGTTGCACTTATTACATTTTTATTTATATCCTTATTGTCTGGAAACCATCCTGTGAGGTGGATCACCCTTGTCCCCTGGGGCTGCCCACCTTGTAATGTGTCTCCTGTCCACAGGGCCCATACCTGCAGCCTGGGCAGGAACTTGTTTTAATGACAGCAGCTGCAACAAGCAGCTCAAAACTGTTTTAAACAACTTAAACTGGACATGCATATGTCCAATTTTCTTTATGCCCCAAGTTTGAAAAGAACAGTGTGCATTCTTATCAAAGATGGACTTTCTGTGGTGAAACAACCTAAATCAACAGTCCTGCTGGCATGGAAACTGTGCCTTTCTGCATGCAGAAATGGAAGGTTTCAGTAGCCTCCAACCGGGAATGGAAAAATAGATGTAAAGAAGTAAGCTAGGCCCATGACATCTACTTGGTTCCAAAACCCACTCAGCTAGTCTTATTGTGCAGGACAACAACTATATAACCATCACAATGTACAATAACCCTCAATGAGAGAGTAATAAATTTCACCTGTTAACAGGTGTGAGAGCCACACTTGTAAAAAAAAAAACCCCAAAACATCATGCTGTGAGGGGTTTTTCCTTTCCTTTCCTTTCCTTTCCTTTCCTTTCCTTTCCTTTCCTTTCCTTTCCTTTCCTTTCCTTTCCTTTCCTTTCCTTTCCTTTCCTTTCCTTTCCTTTTCCTTTTCCTTTTCCTTTTCCTTTTCCTTTTCCTTTTCCTAACTACTTTTCACAGATAACGTGGCTTCTATAAAGTTCTCTCTGTTGTACACTTGCTGGTAAGTATAAGGCTGAGGAAGACATCTTCATGCAACTTTTAGTTTACTGCTGAGTTCAGTGCCTTGGGGAAAAAGGTCAAATGCTGGTTTACAAGCACTGAATCTCATAAAATTTATCTGAATTTCATAAGAGCAAAGGAAAGTTGAATTCTTGGTCCTCTTTAAACCTGTATCACTAATTTTTTAATGCTTTGTACTCTACTATGTTCAAGAATATTCCTGAGGGAAATGACTACAGACTACATGTAGGAGTTTTCTTGGCAGCCAATATAGAGATCTATTTTATGTAATTATACGGCTGGAAAAAAACCAAAACTATTGTCTCTGGAAAAATAATTTAACAATTTTTCCTTTTTGTCAGAAGATTTGTATTTGCTCAATAATCTAAAATGTCCCAAAGTTCTGTAAAATGGCTATTAGGGGAATATTTAATATAATTTTGCCTAAGTCTACTGTAAAAAACATGCAATGACTTCTGTAAAGTGATAGGAGCAAATCAAAAACACATGGAGTTCTTCATACTATGTTTGGTCATTCTTTTTTGGCTTCCTTCACACTGGGTCTCACTGGGAGCTGAATATGCCATGGGCTAGCATAAGTTATAGAAGTCCTAATGTTCTTCTAATTTATGATCATTGTCATGGGCTGTCAGGCCAAGATCCCCAGAGCACAATGAATCCCACTTCTCAGCTTGCTGTTATCACTCATAATACAATATCAGCAGCTTTGGGAGGAAAAAGCAGATATTCATTAACACGGCGCAAATCTGAATGTAAGTGTAATTCAGGTGTTACCTACCTTCCAAATTCAGAGCTACCACTGCTGTATCATCCTCTAATCCTTCAATCACCTCACACTTATATCTCCCATAATCCTCCAGTATTATATTTGTGATTATAAGAGAGGCATCATTTTCACTGCTTTCCCTCAGAAACACTCTGCCTTGGTAGTTTCCATAGCTCTTTCTGTGGTGTCCCATCGCAACAAAGACGTCCACTTCTTTGAGGTAATCTGAGGTGAGTTTGGTCCACTTGACCCGGATTTTGTGGGTTCCTGAGCCAGCTGTTGATGTGTGTTCATGGTAAAATTTACATGGCAGTGTGACATTGCCACCTCGGTGTGAGAAGAGTTTAGCTTGCTCTGCTACCACAAGTAGACGGGGTCCATTTTCTGCTGGGATTCAAGGAGAAAAACAAAAACAAGGATTAGTCTGCAATCTATATTTTACAGAATGGATATGATCAATGTCATAAAACCCATCAGCTCTATTATAGACTAAGTTTTCAGGATCATTTCCCTGCAAGCATTTTGTACCTATGCAGTAGTAGGGTGTACAAACCAGTTGTAATTATTTACTTAACTGCAATTATGTCTGTATGTGCACACCCCCAAACAGGCAGATGGGCAAACTAGTTTGCAGCACTGCTTTCCCATATAGGCAGAAGCCATCCCACATACTCCACAGTCATGAAGATAGAGTTGTATAAATGTATTTACAGTTGTATAGCTGATGGATGAATGCCATCATCCATAAAAGGCTCCACACAAACTTTATTTCCCTGTGTGTTGTTCAAGAGCTGTCAATCAACGCTTCATTTTTTTTTCATAAGTCAATTTTTATGTATGGACTCGACTTATTCAAGCAGCAGCATACAAAGCTCCTCACGATCTTGGATGTGGTGAATTACATTCACAAAACAGAAAAAACATTAGTGTATCAAATAGGACTATTTATATTGACATAAAAAGTGTCAGCATAATTCTAAAATGTCTCAATTTCTATTTGTACTTTATTCTAATTTTTCAATTTGAGTTCCTCTTCTAATATACTTCCACCAAAGTAAGGAAGTTCAAATTATCTTCAAATGTCACTGTTTTATCGTTGATATTTTGATTTTGCTTTTCACACAAACCTGTATTTAACTGGCTGGCTCCTCTAGTCCTCACCCCAGACTCCCTGCCCTCTTTCCTCTCTAGTAGGTCACTACAGCTGATGTTGCTTTACTAATTCATTACATCTAGGACAGCGAGCCTGAGCAGGTGCTCGCTTCCAACCTTAAGTCTCTGGGGCTTTTCTGACAGGCTGTGCTGCCTTGGGAAAACCTTGGAAAGCACAGATTTCATGCTGGCAGTCAACAGATGTATCCAAAAGCGAGAACATTTCCTTCTTTCGGACCCTGTTGCCTCTCCTTTCATGCGCAGTTTGCAAAATAGGTTTAGCAAGCTCAGCACTTCTGTAGATATTGCTGCCCTCTATCATTGAGACACCAACCAAAACTAGCAACAAATTACCAGTGCTCTGCTCACTGGGAAAGAATTGCCAGCCTCACTCTACATAACAGATTGTGGAGAAAGTCTTTGTAATTCCCTATGTGTGTTCAGCAAGTCAATGTAACCACCTAGAAATGTGATTCCCAACTCTAAGCCTCATCTGGCTCTCCATAAATTCAGCAAAAGCCAAGTTCCCAAACGAGGAAGCTGCTGTGGGGCTGACCCTATGAAGGCCAGCAGCAATTTTCTCCTAGCATCCATGGGGATAGATCTGGATTGTTAAGACAAAATGCTTGCAAAAATGTCATCAGCCAGAGAGAGGTGTGGATGACTGAAGGAGGGACAGACTGCAACGGAGACAGGCTGACAGATGAGGTTTCAGTGATGAGCCCACCAAGGAGTATCCCACCCTCCAGCTGTCTGTTCACAGCACTGCAAAAATCTGTGGTGTGTCCACAGCCACGGTGGGTGGAGGGAGACTTTAGGAGCTGTAGCTCATAAATGTCTTCAGACAGTTCTAGGCTTCTGAATCTTGTTGACAGGTCTGCCAGCTAAATGATTTATTCACCTGAACTGCAGTTCCAGCTTGACTTCACTATCTGTCCAAGCTGGCTGTACTAAGCAGCAGAAGAAACCCCAGTGTCTGAAGCATTTTATGACTGTGTGAACATGTTCAGGGGTGGCAACTGCAAAGACAAGCTCGCAGAGTGCAAATATGCATCTGCTTCAGAAAAACAGGTAGCCCAAATGTGTAGTTCTTCATCAGGAGATGCTATGTCAAGAGCATTGCCAGGGTACCAGCCTCCTGAAGAATGACCAAGCTTGAATGCTGCAAGTTGTTTTACCAGGATGAGAGACCTTCCTACCTAATAAAAAATCATTACTGCAGAGCAGATCACCTGCAGCCCGATACCACTGGTTTTCTTTTTTGCTGCTGTTCTTCCCACAGGTGATCAGAGGCTCAGGGCTGCTCCAATAACCCATCTACCCCTTTCAGAGGAGAGCATCCAAGGAGAGGGGTGATCTAAGGCAAGGCACCATGGAAAGTGTTGCTAACACTGTTTCCACAGGATGAGGAGAAGGAAGAAAGTGAAGGCAGCCAGGATGGTTTGTCTGCAAAATTCCTTGCTTCCTTCAAAGACAAAGACGTTCCACAGACTTCTCTCCACCTTGGGAGGAGAAATGTTATGCTTTGGGCTGGTTATTACAAAAAAAAAAATCTGAATCAGAGCTCAACTATGTTGAGTCTTTAATACTGAAACAGTCAAGTTAACAAATATTAGCAGAAAGGACTGGGGCAGGAGGGAGAGTCTGGTAATGCTCTCTCTTTCTAACAACAGCTAGCCTGTGCCAGCAAGGCCTGGAGACTTGCCCAGAGCACTGTCACCTCTGACTCCAGCATTAGTATCGTAACACGGTGGGGTACCTCTCTCCTGGCTGCTTCCCACTTCCCCTGGCCCTTTGTAGCAGCTGTTACCTGAGTTTATATCTAAGTAAGGGTACAGAACAGAAGGGATAGCAACCTGGGAAAGGAAAGAAAAGCATGTTTTTTTTCCAGCCTGGAACATATCCTGCATCCCTGGAGGATCAAAGGGAGATGCAACGCTTGAAACATGCCTCTACCCTCAAGTTTTCTAAAAAACAATTATTTTTTTTACAGACAGAGATGATATGCCCTTCTCTCTAGCACAAGAGTGGGGCAGAAAATTACATTGCTGCTGCTCACAGACCTCAACAAGGAGGAAGGAAGAATCTCTGGCTTTTGAGGAAAAGCAGATATCAGATTAAGGGATGCTGCATAGTTTATCATTGGGCGAGAAGACAGGCAGAACACATGCAGGCAGTAGGGATTTAGGATTAAAAATGAGATGACAGGGGTTTGGCAAGAGGACAAGAGGGCTTTATTAACCAGCAGCCAGTGTGAACCAGGGCCAAATTCACCTAAGTGCATATTTTTGGGAGCATGGCAAAATGAATGGTCTTGATTCTGGATTTGACAAAGAACAGTTAAAAATAACCCCACAACAAACCAAAAAATGCCCAAACACAAAGCAAACCAGAATCCCTTAATTTACAATATGTTTAGCACTCTAGATGCAGCATTCTAGTTTACTGCTGTGAAAGTCAGCTTCAATGAGGAATTAATCCTGCTTCCTAGGTTACCTTAATACAATGAGCAATGATCTGTTGTGAAATGGTGATCTGATCATGAAAGGTGGGTAAAACACTCTTTTAAAGGCTTGTCAGAATGGTTCCCTTTCCTCATGAGGTTTCTGACAAGGCTGCTCCTTCTTAATAAAATTATCTTTGTATACCAAAAAGATGAGTGCAAAAAGGAAAAAGATGGGATAGGGAAGTGTTATCACAGAATCCAGCATGTTATTTGAGGAAGAAAATACTTCTTTCTACCCAGAACTACTGTCTTCAGAAGTACCATCAGAGAATTTGTAAGGTGAATGGTCAAAAAACTCTAAACACTGCAAACCCCAGATAATCCCTCACTAAACTTGTCTGCAACAGGACAGTTTGGATCATTGCTGGAGACAAGACAGACCACATGCATGGCCACTCAAGAGCGTCAGATGGTGGACTAACGGCGGGGAATGTACTGGCCAATCTCAAGCTGCTCCTTCTGTTGGGAACAGAGATGGCAACAGCCTGGTTATTGGCTCTGGTCTCAGCTCCAAGGTCAGAAGTGGAAGGAGAAAGGTTTGCTAGGTGGGGTTTCCACTCTTCAAGACATATTTTGCCTTGTAAGACAGGTAGCAGCTTAGCTGTTAGTACAGAACCAGGCATCACTGGTGACTAATTTGATGTATTTTTTCCACTCCTGTTTCCCTACTATCAATTCTGACAGGCTGTGGCCTTTTGTTAATCCTCTTGGTGAAATTAAATGGATGACAAAGGAAACATAACGCAAAAACAGCTAAAGTAGCTAAAATTTAGTTTGTCCAAGTTGCAGAAGCTGTCCAGCTGTGCAGGATAACACACAACTGTGGGAGCTGCTTCTCCAAGCCGTAGGGAAATACTGCCTGCCACAAGTGAAAACTCACTTAGAAACTTGCTATTTGGGTTGGCTTTGCTGTACCTCAGTGGTGCCAAATCAAGCAGGTATATACTGCAGGTGAAAGGGCATCTTGCTACCTTAAAAGTGATAAGGCACAGGCAGCAGCAGGCTATCTGCCTCTCTCTTATTCTCCACCTCTTTTTTTCCCTTATCTGAATGCAATGCAATTAGCACAGCTGTTCTGGTTGTCCACACATCCAACCCTGACTTCAGTGTGATTCCCATTTCAAGGGTGGTAAGTGGACTTGCTCTCATGCTGCTAGAGCTCTCAATTCGGTCTCACCTGTTGGTTTATTAGTTTAGCTCCAAATTTTACTGCTGGCCATGTATCCAGATTTGTTTGTCTTTTTAGTTGTTTTTATTAGAGTGATTTTTTTGTTTGGTTGTTTTTGTTTGCTCGTTTGTTTGGTTGGTTTTTGGTTTTTGCATTTTTTTCTCTCTCTTAACTGGCTTCTGCATTCAAGAGTAATGGCAAGCCAGGTTTGGGAGGCCAGGAACATAGTGTGGGGCAGAGAGGATGAGTCACACCTCAACCCTTGGCAAACAGCTTTATCCACTTTATCCATCAGAACTGTCCTGGCAACAAAACTTGATTATTCCTCCATTTTAATGGACTAACTTACAGAGCAACAGTGGAAAAAAAGAAAGTGCATTTTTAGAGGGAAAAAATAATAAGTCAAGGATTACATTATAGACGTGTTTAGTCAGATAAACTCATGTATTGCCTAAATGTTCCACATTGTTAGCAAGCCATTAGGTTAAAAACACCATGTGTCATCCTACTTCAAATAAACACAGAGCTGTTTCTTGCTTTCCTGTAGTGTTACCAGGGGCT